CATGCCAGGTCTTAGTTTGACCGCTTTTGACCTTTTCCAACCGCTACCTGCTTCGACAAACATGGCTAACCGTGGCAACCTATCCGGTGACACGCGTAACACATGCCCCAACCAATTTAATCCATGGAGTTTGACGATTTACTTCAGTGGGCGACCGCAGTTACCTGAAACTCTCAGTCCCTCAATGTTCGTCCGGCTGCCCCACTAGATTCGCGCAGTGCTGCGTAGAAAATGGTGTTCAAACACCGACACTATCTCTATCCTGTTTTCTTAATGGCCTCGTTTCTACGCCGTATAGCAGAACTCGCCGAACTGCCGCGGTATATACTCGATGCTTCACAGAGAGTCAGATGTCGCAACAGTTGTCTCAAGTTGACAAATGCCAGCCGAGCCTTCTGTATGCGAGCTAACACTTCATCCGTGATTTGTCCACCGGGTGGGATTTAGCTGCCCAAATAACAAAACTTATCCACTTTCTCTATTACTTCCCCAGTTAGAGTCAGGTAGGATGCTGGATCAACCCAGTCTTGTAGTGACATTTTACACTTTGAATGTGCAAAACGCATACCGAACATGGATACACTAGTACTCCACTAGTACTCCAGAAAATCTTGCAACTTACCTGAATCTTCAGTTAACAGTACAATGTCGTCTGCGTACTCCAGATCAGATAGAACAATAGACTAATACATGGTGTAAAGGAATAGACTAACCAGTTGAACAAAGGGGTAGGCATAACAATACCATTGCCCACGCATGCGACTCACTCGGTATTTGCCATAGTAAGCCGGGGAAACTCAGTTGTTGCGACTGAGATCGAGCGGTTTTCATATCCTTTCACTATGTTCTTGACTGACTGTCAATCGTTCTTCCAACTGCTACTCACGACAGCGGATGGAGAACACAGTCAGATACCGCATGTGAAAAGATGTGCTACACGTTTATCAACCAGCACAGTTTACTCATTACATACTTCTGTGTTCAATCGTAGCTGCGTGATAGCATTTATCCGGCACCATCCCATTAGAGATTCCGCACAAGTGTAAGGATAGAGCTAGCGAGCGACCACATAGTCAGTCCTGTCCTCTTTCATTCACCAATGTGTTTTACCCATTCTGCTCTATTTCTCCTCTGCAGTGTTTCTCGGCATTTGAAACAAGACTTCAAAATCATTCGTCGTAGTTTGATGATAATCATTTGTGCGTCACTAATCTTAATCGATTAATCAAGGAACTCATCCGTGGTCACATCAACTATTGTGTTGTTTGAAATTAAGATTCTAGACGACCGTCTTCATCCGCTGCATCCCAATCCACCATCTTGTCGTTCCCATCCGTCCACATGCTCTTCTTTTCGGCATCTACCCTCTCGTATTAACATTTATAAAAAAATCCATTGTACCCCACCTGGCCCGAATCTCAATCACAAAACGAATAGGTCGCAAGTGGACTACGTCAGAAGTTCTGTCTATGAAACAATCTTCAGCGACATTCTTTACGTAGCATGTTACATGAAACTGTATATTTCATTCTGCGTGACGATCCGTGTACATTTTTAACTGAAATGTAGGCATATAAGCTTATACAAGTTATATAAATAAAAATACAATCGACAGAATCGACGTCAGAACTTCAAATCTGCCAAACGACAATTTGAACAATTAACCTTGCCTTAGAATCTCATTCGGTGAACTCCGGTGAGTTCTAATGAAAACCTGTCTAGGCAGTCAGCTTACATGCTAACTGGTGGATGCTACATGCTTCTGTAAGTTGGATGGGTAATTCAAATGTGGAAAGATCAGTTCTATCGGTGTGGCCTCGTTGCTCAACTGGTAGAGTGTGCGCTGTAAAAAAAGCGTAGGCGGCGTCCACGCGTGGGTTCGAATCCCACCGAGGCTACTGAACTTTTCACAATCGACATAAAAACTTCAGATCTACAAACAACAATTTGAACAAATACAAAATTACTTATGCACGTGACCAGTCAAACGGTTCAAGTCACTGTCACTTATCTGCACTGTTCTCTGAGATCTGCTACCTTAGCTTGAGGACGAACAGTATCATTTACAACCAGTTCAATACTACTTTTATCCCATCCTTCTAAGACCTTTTCTGGTATGTTCGCGTGACCATAACAAAATGATAGAATGTCATGAGCACAGAATTCAATCCTTCTACCAGTCATTTCTCCCAGTCAAACAAGTTGTGTATGTTTGCCCGACTTTCGATACTGTGTACGAGACGGTCGTTTTCAAATAATACAAATTTATCGTTTCAAGCCAGTTCGTTCCACATTTGTTTGTTTCTCTGTGCCTGTGTTGTCCCACGTGTTTCTTCCAGGGCCAAAAATTAGCATGAACCTCCCCCCAGCTGGTCGTAACTATTCAGTCTAACCTGTTCCATGTTGGTCTCTTTTTTCGCATCCGTCGCAACTGTTATCCCGGTCTTCGTCGTCGCATACTTCGATGCACACTCCAATGGGTTGGCTCACACCCCTGCCAGACACGATTTAATCCTAATTGCATTGGCAGACAAACCGGAGTGGTTTTTACAGATGTCCCCCTCGGGGAAAGTGCCGATGCTTCTGAACGAGGGAGCCAAACTGATTGAATCGGATTTGATTATGCGATTTGTGGACGAGCTCCGAGGCACAGATGCACAATTGCTCAGTGTGTGTGGAATGGAAACGTTCAATGAGGCACTCGCGTTGGCTTCCAAAGTGAGTTATCACCAAGTGGTTGATGAAGTCGATGACGCAACCCGCGCTCGATAATCAATCACAAGGAATCCGGGTTCATTCATTGCAAAACACATCATGACAACCAGACACATATTTGACTCCATTTCCTCTTTCAAACCCTTATTTCGTAAACACAATGCAAAACTGTTGGCACTTGGTGAGGCGTTATTAGTTAGGTTATATCATCCCATTTTGTGCACTCAAAAGTTTTTAGCGCAATCCGTTCACTTGCTGTGGGGTTGAGCTCTTACTGTTTTTTTTATAAATTCCAGTAACCCCTGTCTATCTGTGCACATTCGTTCACTAGGATTCGCTATATATGTGCTATATGTGGTTGTTTGTTTACGTCAGCGAGTAAGAGAACTAAATGAAATGTTAACATCTCGCAACATGTGTTTTCTCGATGCGAATAAATTGTTATTGGAAGCATAGTTTCCCCGTAACGAATTTGAATAAAGAATCTGATTTGTGCCAAGTCAGCTCAACTGATTGAAATAATCCACCCACCGGTCAAACCGTTTTTCCCTGTTGCGAATGGCTTACCCACTTTTGTCGCAGATTGTTTCACTAACTTGGGTTCACCGACCTCCGGTATTGTGTAATATTTGAAGCAGTCTTAGGATACTCCTGATGCAGCGGCTATTTTCACTTCACTAGCCATTTTTGCCAATCAGTTCTTGTGGTCCTTCTTAGGGCTCTTCGTGAGTTGCAGGTTATAGATATCATCTACCCCTGTTTTGATCCTGGCCGATCGGGATTTGTCGTCTTTTCTCCATCAGAATTACTGACTTATGAGGTACGCAATGCTTCGGACCGGTTTGATGCTCAAGTCCGCAAACTGTGCTCGCAGTGGTGTGCATTGTTCGTCTAATCTGATGCCATTGTCTTTCTTCATTAACGCGCTTCGTTTATGCTGTAGCTCTGATTCATAGCAAGCTCAAGCGACTGGGTCAGACAAACCATGATATGCTCACCGAGTTTATTAGTTTTTTCGGCGATCATTGCGCCAGACCGTGAATAGCATCCAAACCGGTGCTTGACCAACTAGGACCTTCAGTTCTGTGCCAAACCACGCCAACGGTAGCTTACTGCTATGTGGCCGATTGGAACCGGCTTCCCAGTTGAACTGGAGCCCCTTTCTGACATCCATTGAGAGCTATGACGGATGTTCGATCTGCACAGGGACAGATGGTGGTTTGCGCTGAACCGAAGAAGTTGATCGCAGTTATCTGTTCGTTGGTAGGGCAGAGTACAACGATTCACTAGGCTTGCTTCCGACGTGCTCAGTTTTCTAATCTGAGCGTTAAAATCACTTGCCAGCACAAGTATATCGGCGTTTCGGCCCAGCCGAATGAGTTCGATGATTTTGCCATGGAGCTCGTCTTTTTTTGTGCTTCAGAACTGCAGTTGGTCGTTTCAGGTTGCTAAGATGATGAACAAACACCTTTTGGTGTTCCTTCCCTTCCAGACACTAATTTACCCCTGGAACCGCGTCGCACAACTGACTGTTGTTTCGGTTTCAGTTTCATTTGGTACAACTGTTAACCATGCACTCTGTTGCGCCGGTGTTGGTTGCTGTTGACTGGAATCCACTTGATAAATGAGGCTTCTGCTCTTTTATTCAGTCCAATAACGACGCTAACCTGTTAAGCGGGGTTCGTCGTGGCCTGATTTGCGGGTTTGTGGTATGTGATCCGCATGATTCAAATTTTGTTCACCTCCTTCGGTGCAAATAGCAAGCGACGGTCGATAAATGCATTACAGTGGTTACTATGTATGCGTATTGTGAATCTGCAGCGTCGATAAATGCGGCATCAAGACACAATTCACCACCATCCTGTGAGTATTTCTCATGCTACCTCACAAAGTTCGACAGGTTTTCATCGTCGTTTGGTGATTTCCGGTTTTCCTGACTATTTTGAGCGACCTATTCTCGTTCTCATCTCAGGTATTGTTATTGTTATTGATGATAGGCCAAAAATATTCCTGTCATTAATACCCTGTTCTTATTTTCCTTTCTCTGAACTCGATCTGTGCACGGCTACGCGGGCAGTATTTCAAACCAGCACACACCATCTTATTTAAAGAATCCTTCAGCGAGGAAGATGAGAAAGCGTTCCGGAGCGCATGTGATGAATTGAACAAGACCATCAAAGGTGAATATTTTGCCGGTAAGTTCTAGTCACTATTCTCCTCGGCTCGAATCATTCCCCATCCTTTGGAATGCAATGTAATATGTGTCTGTCTCAACAAACCTCCGTGTTTCATTCTGTTTTCGCTTGGACTGGTAGCGTTCGGGCTTCAGTGTAATAAAGTCAAACCGCCAGTCCAGAAACCCGTCTGTCCTTTTGTACTGTGAGCAAACAACATTACAAATCGGTACAGAAAATGCTTAGGATGGTGATTGATCAATCAACCAATCAACGCCACACAATGAAGGCCGCAGGGAACTGAATTTTGGAGAATCAACTGAAAATTGAACACAACCATACAGTAGAACAAATTAGAAAAATTAAAAACGGAAAGCCAGACAATTTTTGGGCTGATGTAACATTTTCCATTCACATACATACACACGTTTTGCGTATGTCCGACGGTCGCCTACCGCAGCTCACCTTATTTGCAGTAGCTGTTGTAAACTGGAGGAATCCTTGTGGAGGCTAGCAGATGACATGGAGACGGGGCATGAAGAAATGCACAGAGTGATTAGAGTAAATGTCCCTCGTCTTACCGGTTAGGGTAAAAAAACTCCTTAAGCACATGGTTGGAGACAGTGAAGGTCACGGCTGTGAACCGAGAGCAATGACGATTTTTCTGTCACTTCTTATCGGACCCGACTACTTGATATAGTATGTATGCACAGCTAGACTGTGTACTCTGTCTTGACCGTAGAGGTTCGCTCTCTTTTCCCGTCCTTGAAAATAGGTCTAATCCCTATCGTTACACATTCTCACTTACGTTGTATGCAATATGAGTTGGGCAGCGATCAGTGAAGTTCACCTCACTGTGTTACGCTGTACAATGATGATGATGAGTGTATGCGCAAAATGCTCCTAACGTAATCTGATATGCATTTGCTTTCCCCAAAATACGCTTTGCACCTTGGAATTGCAAATAATTGCCACAGGTCCAAATAGTTTCTAACTATTCCTGCTTCCAAACTCGACGGTCCTGAACCGATTGCTTCCCCTGCCTCGATAGTGGCGTGATTATCAAAAGTAGCACAGTGGAAATGGTAAGCTCAGCATTGTCCGGGGTTCTCGTTCAGTGTGCTACGGCGCAATCAGTGTTGAGTTACATGGTTCGGATACCTTTGGTTTGCATGCGGGAGATATTCCTCGAATCAAGTGGTTCGACTGTCGGTGCTTATCTAGTCTAACGCATGCTAGAGGTGATGAGCGGGTTAGCCACACAACGCAACAAAATAGTGCGAACTTCTCAACCAGAACTTCCTTGTCAGAATGAATTCACATGACTATATTCTTTGCAAAATGAGCGGTCCTAGTACTAAATGGACAGTAACTGATGGGTGAGACATCTTAAATTTATGGGTGTATTGATCGCACTACTGCACAGTTTTAGCGGTTTTTCGTTGGCCACCTCTAGGTTCACAATTCGCTTGCAGCCACCTTATGACAGATTTCTCGTTATACCGTCAATGGCAGTATTCAACCTTGTCAGTTCCAGCCAAGTAGTCACCAAACTGGACTTTTTATCAATTGCATAGCTATGGTAGTGAACTGATTTGCTCTGTCTCCTATCAATCAAATTCTACACCTCTGGAGCAAAATTCAGCCCCCCCCAAATCATTGCTTTTACGTCTGTGTGATAACAGCCAAACATGTACCACGCTTTTCGTACCTCTTCTTGTTCTGCTTTTCGTTTGAATTGATATACAGGCAATCAGTTGAGTCTGGCCGATTTCGCTTTGTTTCCCATGTTGGATCGATTAGAGGTGATTGTGAATCAGCTGGAAACTCACGCTGCCGCGGATCACGTGACCGAATGGACTGCAACGAATGCGAAAGCAAGCAAATGGCCTGTGTTGGCTGATTATTTGCTTCGAATGCGATCGCTTCCAGTGGTAGCCTCGTTCCGCCAGCCCACTCGCATTCAGTCGCTATATGCGGAATCGATGCGACGCGGTGCCTCCGATCCGGAAGTTGTATAAACCTTTCTCTTGAACCATACCTGTCAGTGTGTATGTGTGTGTAGTAACATACCAACGGCTTGAAAACTCAGGCATCAGAGCTCCGCGTCTGTCGTAATCAGTCCGCTTTATGTGACTGTTCTGTCACCAGTTTTTCAAATGTTATTTTTCTGTTTGTCGCTAGTTGTCTTTCGTTTATCGCTGCCTGTGGACTCTCCTTTGGTTGCCACGATTTAACCTCCACTAATTTTACAATCGATGCCCCTAATGTCGTATCCTGCATGGAAAATCCAGATACAAACACAACTGTCTACGTCTAGCTTTTTCGCTTTGTTGTGTTTCCATCGATTGTTGCAACTCTCTCTTCCTGCTGCCAGTCTGTCTGTCTTTTGTTCTGTGGGTCTATTCGATTGCTTGCTTCACGTCCTTATCACTGCGGTCGTTGTGTGATGCCCATAGCCGCTTCTGTTATGCTAAGCTTTGTGCAGTCACGATTACCCGAGACAAACGACCTTGAGAGCACCATCACCAAGATTCATTTTGAACTTCCAGTTGATCAACCAATGAAAAGAAGGAATAAAAACGTTTTGGCGAGAAAATGCGGTTTAAAATTGCTCATTTCTCTCTCTCTCTCTCTTTCAGTAATGTTGTGTCCATTCATTACTGCTGTGATGAAGAATACTAATATTTTTTCAACTAATACAAACAAGCGGATACAATTAAGAGAGTAACCCCACAATTCAAGAATATATTGCGTATCAGATGATGAAAGAGACATCCAAGCTTCAATCAGAAAGAGAGGGTCCCACAGTTGTACTTGCTCTTGGGAAGATAGGTAATTGAAAGTAGTGGTATTGTGACGTGCTACTCACATCTGTCAGTAGTATGGTTGGATTAGACAAAGGATACGACTAGTGGTTTCTCACAACGGTCAAAAATGAGCAAGACCTCCTGGAGCGAATCACTATGTTTAAAGTTGTTACTACAGCAAATGCGCATCTACCGTCAAAGCGTTCTAATAAGCATCCTGTGTGCCTGTACGGATTATGGTAACCTGTTCCAAATGTGACGTTTTGTTGTGTTTATACCAATTTGTCGATGCCCTTACCGTTGTTCGTAATAAAAAACTCCTCGTCTCGGCACTGTCTTGTGGGTTTATAACAGTAGAAGTAGTAGTAATGTATCACCTAGGGATAATAGTTTGATATGGATTTGTGTAGCTTGTGTACAAGACCTACAAAGAAGAACGAGTGAGAGGGAACGGAAGAGACGAGTTCGGTAGGACAGAAGCCAAATAAGTACCCGTAGAAGAAGGGCAGGAAGGAGACTGCTTGGTGGTGAGCAAGTGACATGTTAGAGACGGACGCTTGATGAGATGAATGGCATTTAGTTGAACCTGATCAAGAAGCGACTTATAGGTGTCTGGTGAAAACACCTTATTTGTAGACCGTCCTCCGTTCGTTTCCCTCATTTGTAATCAACCTCTCGGTCTCTGTTTTCATTGTCGTCGCGCTGGCATCACATAACGGCAGTTTCGAAACATATTTCGATTTTGACTGCACAAACTAAATGGAGTTAATCGAGGTCCAGCTTCACTAGGAACAAGTCAGCGATTAGGCTTAGTCTCATCCCAATGACGCCTCTACCACTTTACCTTTATGAGATGTTATGGACCCAGGTTTATCATTTACAAAAAATCAGAAATAATGTGTTCAATACGTGATATTTGAACTGGTCTCATTTGTGTCTTCTTCAGTTGTCTCGGTATGGGTGACTGCGTTGCGGTGAAAGGAAACCTGTCTATGCTAACCGATGAATTCAGATGTACGTTATAGGTCATTATCAGAGATTATTCTGCTCATCAAAGATCCTATGTTGATCAAGGTTGTTGTAATACCGTGCCATCCATTACACCACCCAAGCCGTTTACTGGTGGAACTCAACTTCATTCCTTTCGTTTGTATTGTTTTTGCCCAATTCAGCGAAAGACCAAGTTGATGTACCCGGTCAAAATTGGATTATCGAGACAATGAGAGCTTTTACAACCGTGAATTCACAGCCAACGGAAAATGTTCAGATGAGTCGATTGAACGGACTTGGAAACACTTGCTGACGATGTACGTGCCCATGCACAGGGGTACACATGCTTCATCTCTGAGTACGACGAAATTCATTGTATAATTAACCAAATCGTGCATTGCTCTGATGTCAGGTTCGGTATATCTCCAACCACATCATAAGACCCCTGGAGGTTGGTGGGGAGACGAGCAATATAATACACAATATAATATAGAAAGAAAATGACGAAAACGGTTTCTGGAACAATTTTCGTTGGAATTAGATAAAGCTCTGATAGTCGTATACGCACTGCCTCTGCGGGCTCCACTGTCCGAAGTTGTGAGATTTGGGTGGGACCGGATTTTCTTCCACAAATTTCAATGCGTTTATGGTGTTGGTCGAGCGGAAAGAAAGTTGTGTAACCGCAGCGATGGTTACAGCATGAGGGAAACGGGGTAGCGGTGTTTTAGT